GCGAGATACATAGAAAAAAGAGAGCAGATGGTTTTCTGCGCCTTTCCTGCGCTCTAGTAAACTCATTCCAGTAGCGAAAAACTTCAGGTTTGGGACTCAGGATGAGGTTACGCATCCTCACATCTTTAGGAAATCACAAAAATTTCGTTGGAAGAATATCGTCGAATCCCGGCCTATATTCCTCCACCAGTGAACAGCTGTCATCTGAGCCATCACAGTTAAACTTTTGTTACCAAAGAAAAGCGGTCTGAGAGGCACAAAATAGTTAATATCTGAATGAAAATTTGCTCAACAAACTTCAACCAGTCTTTCGTTGAATTTCTCTTCTCTGGTTTCAGTCAGAACGCCTAACGAGCATGGCAGCACGCTTCGCAGGACCCTACGCTAGTTGTCCATATCAATGATTTTGCTAGATGATTTCGGTTTTATCCGCTTTCTGTCGTAGAGCTGACACAGGCTGAGCGTGCATGGTGATTTTGTTCGATGTAGTCTTCGAGGTTATAGCCAATCCTTTTGGGAGGTTCTGTGATTATCCTGGTGCTCTCTTATTTCTATTCGTAGTGAGAATTTGGAGCACCAAGCTATGGTTTTCTTTGAGCTCCTAAAAATGGCTTCGATGCTCATGGTAGAGCCATCAGGCGCGTATAAAAAGAAAGTCTGGCTTTCACTCGCGGAGGGAAAGGGAGCAACTCAAACCGTAACTCTAATAGAATTACCATACACCGGAAAAGTGCTACCATCGTTGCTGGTTGGATAAAAAAATCAACAGTGGGGAGAATTTTGAGAGGTGTCCTGTGAATTCGCACCGGCTCTTTAACTAAAAAAAGTCTAAAAATACTTTTTATAGTTTTTTTTATAAAGGCGGTCTGATTGTACAGATTGCGATGGACGGCGTTTTCTAGAAGCTGAGATATTTATATTTTTGGGGGATGTCCTATGATTTTGCACCGCATTGTATGTGGGAAAAGTGTCGAAAATCTCAACGCCTCACCTCCTGATGAGACATCAAAAAGGCTCGAAACACTAGCACAGATTTAATAATTTTGTAATCTATGAGCTTGGGACGGATCGATTCTTTTTTCTTGGTAGTTTGTATCTTGTGTTTGAACGACATCTCGTTCAAATGTTTGATGGACATCAGTTCGAAGTAATTTCATTTTTGCATTATTTTCTCGCTTATTAGCTTGCTCTTGGAAAAGGAGTTTTTTATCAAGTCTAGTTGGTTATACACGTGGCCAGTTAACAACAGTTTTCCCTTGAAAGCCTTTCGGAGCAAAATCAGGCTTACATTAGAATCGCTGAAATTTTGAACAAAAATTGGGTTTCTATAGAAATCGTGGTCTCTTGAAGTTTTGAGAAAAATTTTGGGAAGATTCTATTGTGATGCAGGTCTACACAAATCTATGCAAAACTTTGATTATGTGAAAAGCAGAAGTTTCTTCTTC